CAGGTACAGGCAGTACAGACACGTGCAGGCAGGTACAGACAGGTACAGACAGTACAGACAGTACAGGTAGGTGCAGGCAGGTACAGTCAGTGCAGGCAGGTACAGACAGTACAAGCAGGTACAGGCAGTACAGACACGTTCAGGCAGCGGTGCAGGCAGGGGTGCAGACAGGTGCAGACAGGTGCAGGTAGGGGTGTAGGCAGGTGCAGACAGGTGCAGGCAGGGGTGCAGGCAGGGGTGCAGGCAGGGGTGCAGGTGCAGGCAGGGGTGCAGGCAGATGCAGGCAGGGGTGCAGCAGGTGCAGCCAGGTGCAGGCAGGGGTGCAGGCAGGGGTGCAGGCAGGTGCAGGCAGGGGTGCAGGCAGGCCACCCACGCGCTGGTGCAGGCCGATCCAGACGCTGTCGTCCTCGTCCTCGCGCCGCGGGCGCTGGGCGATGAAGGCGGCGAGTGCCCGGTGCTCCTCGGGGCTGTGCAGCGACGCCAGGTGCCCCCCACGGGTGGCCTGGCACCACGCCTGGGGGCACCGCCAGCTCTGGGGGGGTCCCGGGGGCACCGGGGACCCCCCCAGCACCCCCAACCCCCCTGGCACCCACCTCGGCCTTCCTCCAGCTCAGCCCCTGCCCGAAGTAGCCGTAGCAGTGGCCCCCGAAGGACAGCCACCCCCGGGGACACTTGGTGGCCTCTGCCCCTGGGGGGGAACAGGGGTGTCACCAGGATGCCCCCCAGACCCGGCTGGGACCCCACGGGGGGAGCCCTGGGGGGCATCAGGGGACCCCCAACCCCGTTTGGGGGGCTGAGGGTGGGGGAAGGGGATTGGGGGGGGCTGTCAGGGTGCAGATGGGGAAGGTCGAGGTGTGTTTGGGGGGGGTCAGGGTGCGGTTGGGGGGTCTCAGGGTGCAGCAGAGGGTCTCTGAGTGCAGTGGGGGGGTCCCAGAGTGCAGCGGGGGGGGTCCGGGTGCAGGCAGAGGGTATTAGGGTGCAATGGGGTGGTCTCAGGGTGCAGTTGGAAAGTCTCAGGGTGCAATGAGGGTGTCTCAGGGTGCAGCTGGGGGGTCTCAGGGTGTGAGGAGTCTCACCTGGCAGTGTGGGGTGCAGGACCAGGCACCCCAGCAGGCAGAGCCCCAGGAACGTGGCAGGACCCATCCTCACCCTTCCTGCAACGGGGTGGGGGACTGCAGGCGGGTGGGGGGCTGGCTGGGCATCCACCCCCTGCCCCAGCACCCCTCTCTGCAGCGCCCAGCACCCACCCCAGCACCCACTACCCCATCAGCTCCAACCCCCCAGCACCCACCCACCACCCCCTGTCTGAACACCCCCCCACCCACTGCCCCCTGTCCTGGCACCCACCACCCAATTCCTTACCCCTCTGCCCCCACTACCCACCAGCACCACCCCAGCACTCCCAGCACCCCCACTGCACCCCCAGTTCTGGCACCCAGCACCAGCAGCCCCCTCCCCAGCACCCCCCATCCCATTGCCTCCCCCAGCACCCCCCAACCCCGCACCCCCCAGAACCAGCATCCCCATCACCCACCACCTCCCCAGCACCCACCCCCCACTCAGCACCCCCCACCCAGCACCCCCAATCCCTCTGCCTCCCACAACCCCCCCACCGCAGCACCCACCGAGCACCAGCACCTCCAACCCCCCCAGGCCCCCCAGCAGCCCCCCCATGGCCCCCCATGGCCCCCAGCCGCCCCCACACCTCGGCAGCCCTGTGCAGACGCTCGGGCTGAGCGGGACCCGGGCACCCCAAACCCTTTATAGGCCCCGCGGTGGGTGTGGGGTGCGGGGGGGCGCGGGGGGGCCGGGCCGGGAGCACCCACTGGTGGAGCCGCCGGCCCCGCTGGCACCACATCAAAAGACAGGTGACGCTGGCACCCACCTGGGCCACGCACCGGTCACCCCCAAGCCCCGACCCCCCCAGTCCTGACCCACCCCGAGCCCCCCCGCACCCCGGGGTGCTGCCCTTGCTCTTGGGGTGCTGCCCCTGCTCTTGGGGTGCCGGGCAGGGACCCCCGGGGGGGTCGGGCTGTGCTGGGGCCACTGTGGGTCCCGTGGCACCCCCAGCTCTGCTCGTGCCCCCGGGTCACTGTGACCCTCCTGCGGCACCTGGGGGGTCCTCGGTAGGTTCTGGGGGTCACCGAGGGGGGTCTGGGGTGCACCCAGCGGGACGGGGGGTCTGTGCTGGGCCACGGCCACGGCTCTGTGTGAGCCCCCCCGTGACGGGCACAGACCTAGGGGGGACGGGGGTGCGGGGGGGGCCCTCTGGGGCAGGAGCTGTCTCTGCCTGGGTGCCCCCCCCCCCGGGGGGGGGGGGGGGGGGGAAGGGGCCGGGGGGTGCCCGGGCCCGTGGCCAGGCTGGGCTGGGAGCCCACGCGGGATCAGATAAGGGAGTGGGAGCGCCCGCGGCTCCGACGGACACGGACCAGGGAACACGGACTGAGGGACAGAGCGAGGGACACGGACCAAGGGACCGGGACAGACCAAGGGACAAGGACTGACGGACACGGACTGAGGGACATGGACAGAGGGACACGGACTGAGGGACACGGACCGACAGATACCGACCGAGGGACGCAGACTAAGGGACAGACTGAGGGACACGGACCGAGGGACACTCTGGGGCCCTGACAGAGCCACTGGCAGCAGCACCCACCTGGCACCCACCGGTGTCCCCACAGCACTCAGGAGGGTCCAGGTCCCAGCTCGGAGACCCCCGGGCGTGGGGCTGAGCCGGGGGGCCCAGGGGAGGACCCAACCCCAACATGGGGGCAGGATGTCACCCCAATATGGGGTCGGGGTGTAGGACACAGCCCCGGTACCAGGAGGGTGACAGTGACCCCATGAGATGCCCCCCAGCCTGGGGGGCGCCCGCGGGGGGTCCCTGTCCCTGCGTCTGGCCTGGCCCCTCACCCACGGTGGGCATCCCCCATCCCCAGCCTGGTCTGACCCCTCTCCCGGAGGGCTCCCCACCCCTGCCCCGGTCCTGGCCCCACTCTCGGGGGGCTC